ATTTTAGTCAAACCTTGAAAAAAATAATAAATTATGCTCGACCTCAGGTAATATCATACAATGTATTAGTGTACAGAGTGTGTTGAAGATGCTACTGCCAAATCAAATTTTAAATTAATAGCTCTAAAGCTGAACTATAAAAGGCAAAATACTTGGAGCATATCAAAATTATATATTTATCAAATAAGGCAAAACACTGGCGAAGAAGCTTTCAGAAACTTAGAAAGAACTACGAGGAGCACGAAAAACATGAAAGACAACCGCACTAGCAATCGGACACACAATGAACTGACAAACACTGATGGCGTGAGCCAGAACATGAAGGACAGACTAATGAGGGTGAACGAGGGACACCTGGAGGAGACACATGAACAGGTGAGCGAGGGCGGGGCTGGAGGATTAACAGACAGGAGGACAGGATGGAAAATCACTGGGATTCACARAAAAATAACAATAACTGAAAGGACACAAAAAGACACAAAGATATTTATGTGTTATTGGCTCAGCTGACTGCGAAGGGAATCTTGAATTGGGTTGGCTTGAACAGGTAATCAGCTGTCGATGTACATGTTGATGTAAGTTCATGAGATATTTTTCTAACACCCCARTAGATAAGGACAAAGATTGCACACAATCAGTTAGTGCTTGGCATATGTGTTGAGGATAACTCTTCCCTTCTACCACACAAAAACAAGACAGACACACACCAGCAAAAATATGATCACCCACCTTTTGGGAAGAGGACTACAAATGGTTAAAAGGACCGCGAAGTGGTCCCTTGTGATCAAAAAGCACCAATTTAAGCCTTATGATAAACTGTGAGACCTCAGTTGTTGCTTGAGAGGATTTATAACATTTAAAAACACCCTCAAAAYGCTGAATGATCAAATGATCCGGGTGTTTTGTCTGTCAGCACCCTCTGATGCTTCATGATATGACAGAGGAGGAACCCACAGGTTAAGGTAGAGTTTATGTTGGAGTTCGATGTTGTCTCAAACATGAAAACCCAACAGATTATACTCTRTGAAAACAAGAAAAAAAACATCAGGGATGAAATATGCTTTCACTTCAAGTCTGTCTTTTTTCCCCCATCGTTTGGTTTCTACGGATCACCGGTCCAAGCAGATGAGGAAAGCACTCTTGTTTTCCTGAAGCAAGCTGTCTGCTGTCCATCCACATCAAGCACATCCAATGCGCTGGCCTTCGCCTCACCGCCTCCTCCTCCTCCTCCTCCTTCTCCTCGCAAGAAACTGAGGCCGAAGATGGGCGCCGTGCCAAATACACCAGATAGTTTCATCCACAGCTGCACTCAGGCGGCTGCCCCCAAGTAACAAAAGAGTCCACTCATTAAAGCGAAACCGTCTCTCGCAGAAAGAGACAAGCAGGGACAGGGASACTGACGACAAATGTTTCAAAAGCAGAAAACTCCCAGAAAACTTCACCCAGGAAAATATTATTCTTTGGCAGAMAAAAATAAAATAAATGTTTGTGCAGAGGGAAAGCCTCTTGTTACAGTGAGAGCAGTAAGTATGCAGCCTGTCTTAGAAATTGATAGTAGCTGATACCAGATGAAAAAGATATCTGGTTTTGTGTCTTGAGGCTATGCACAGCATGCTTCCCACGTGCCAAAATGTATCCGAGCTTTCTCTTCCATAACAAAACAAAAACAAATATGAACACTACTTTCTGCAAAAGCATGTTATCAGTCTACTTGTTGCTGTTTTGTTGTCAGGTAGTTAAAACGAACACACAAACAGAACTGACAAGATTCATTTTAATTATCTGTCAATCTTAGATACCTATGTTTTATTTTCTGTACCTGTTTTTAAGGATCAATGAGGCAGATTTTATCAGGAGCCTACATACACTGATCCATCACAAAAACAAAAGACAAACTCAATGGACTTGAAACAAACTCTGTACGTAAAGTTTTATTAGCTCTGACAACCACAGCAACAGATTTTAGACCCAACTTTTTGCTAAAAAAAATAGGCATCGGCAGCTATTAATCCAATTTGTTTTAATAGATTTAATTGAATGATTGCCGCTCCTTGATTATGATAGGAATAATGKGAAACAATTAGTTTATAAACGACCTCATATCTTGGTTGATTTGGCAGAAATGGGTTTCTGTGTGGGATTCCCATTGCTTTAAAATTGCTAGTTAAAACTAAACACAGCTCATTGAATAAGAGGTGTTGTGTTCTTTAAGCCTGGTTTAAGATAGTTGTGCCAATTTCTAACTCAATTTTCTCCTTCCGACTAGCTTAATGATGCCCCATGTACTGATGGCTCTAAATATGATCTTTTGAGATTTTCCTGCCAGGTATCAGGTGATCTAGTCGGCTCAGAAAGACGTTGGGACGGCTCTGATCTTAAATCAGGTTTGATCAACATGTTGGGTTGTTTTGGCCCAATATCCCAGCATGTGTGGTGTTCCCCAAGGACAAACGAGCCTGTTGAATGTGACGCGTAGCCCATCAGAAAGAGGAGACGGAAACATGGAAGGGAATCTAAAATACAGAAGACAAAACAACGTCTGGTGGACTTATCTCCGAATATAAATATATTTATTAGGGGGTGCAACGATACAGAAAATTCACAATTCGGTTCGGATCAATACTTTAGTCTCACGGTTCGATATTTTTCAGTACAAAAAAAGAGAAATTTCCATGCCCCTTTTAACTTGTAATTTATTTAAATTAATTATGACCATTTGTTTAACCTCAAAAGTACAGTTTTTAAATTAAATGTTGCTGAAACAGCAAATTTCTCAGTGGATCTGCGCTCAAAAATGCAGCCTAGGTGGAGTAGTCGAACACAGATCCACTGATCCTTCAACACAGAGCATCTTCAGAAGACAAGCTGATAAAATAAAATTTAAAAATCTGTATTGTTCGATACAAGTGTGTACTGAACCTAAAGCACTGTTTTGAACGGTTCGATACGGGTACATGTATTGTTGCAACCCTAATATTTATATAAAATACATTATGTTTTATTAGTCCATTTCATGACCAAACCATGAACACATARTCATACATACCTATACATACCCACAGCTTATTGAACCTAAAAAAGGCTGCAAAATTTTGCATTTTTAAAATAAAATCAAAAATTGTACTTTGTTAATAAGTCATGTTTTTATTTTAAGGTTTTAAGTGAGGCCTTTTAAAGTGKGTTTCTGTGAAAATATTTTACAAATAATCAATATCTTATTTGTTGTGGACTTGTGTCTCTTTTGCTTTAATGCAACCTAGAAGAACAGACACCCAGCATGAGTGAGAGTTGCACATAAACATACTATCGTCTTGAATATAATGAGATGTCAAAACTCCGTTGTTCTGTCCTGAACAATGAGCTGATATCTGAGACATAAATATTGTGACTGCGAGGCCCACCAGGATGTTTTGCCATGCTGCTAACGCAGCTAAAAATGAGGGGAAATGAACAATGTGGTTCAGTKCAGCTCTAATTATATTGCATTTCATAGAGGATGCTAACCGCAGTGACATTCCACCACACTGCGTTTGATTAGTTACAGCTTCAAAACAGTCAAGGATCTCTACTCTTATAGTAACATACGAGGTGGCCACATAAGCCCTAATTTATTCTGAGGAGTCCCACCAGCAGCCTGTGTTTTCACCGGGAGCCTCTAACATTAAAGACTGCTGTGCACTATTTCTGTCATTTGGTTAACTTTTACAGAATGGCCCTCTGACGACCAGTANATATATATACAGTATATTGCTTGATGACCTTAAGAATGCTGGAACAACTTATTTAGTAGAATACTAAAAATCTTTTTTAAATGAGATATGAACAAAATATTGGTTAAGATTTGTATTTGTGTTGTGATGCTGTTTGTGTCTGGAGACATGGTCCTGAGCAGTCCAGTCCTTGCTCACTCATGTCAGTCCACCTGCAATGTGGCCTTAGTCCGTCGATCTCCTAATGGTCGCTGCGACAACGCCAACTGTTATGGCAATATTTATTTAACAACAGAGACAGAAATACGTGGTCCAAGAATGAAGGTACTCCATGGGATGATCAGCTGAGTTTATTGCAACAACAGGAAACACAGAGAACAACCTGCCCTGTCTCTGTGCCTCTGCTTCTCTCTGTCACTATCTCTCCACTGTCACTCACTTGAGAGGCCTCATATATATATTAACGAACACCATTATGTCATCTTAGCAAGATTTGATACAAGGTCAATAGAAAACACAAAGATAAACACAAGTGATATCTAAGAATGACTGTTGTTAGHARATCTTGTTCTGACTTTAATCATTCTGTCTGCAGATGAACAGCATGTCATGAAAACCTAGGTCATTAAAGTATATCATGAATTACTGGCTTAAACCTAAAAGTATTAGTTCCACCACATTGATTATTTGAAAATATATTGTGCATTAAGTTTAGTTTTATTACTCGTATGTTGTACGTTTTTTTAGATACATTTTTTTTTTAATTGGGGGCAGATGTTATAAGTTTTTATTCTTCTTTCTGCTCCTTTTCATTTGACTACGATGTGATTGTCTTTTTGACACAACAATGTTGTATTATTTGTTTGTTTCTATTATTGTTTTTGTTCTTTTATTAATTGTTTGTTTTATTATTTGTTTGTTGAATGAAATAAAGTTCTACAAAACTGGATTTCTACTTGGTCTTGGACATTGAGGATTCAGGATTTTATTTCAAGACCACAACTGTAGAAATATCTCTAAATTACGAGAATATTGTTGAATTTATTTGTTAACACCATTGCTGTCATTAGATATTAAATGTACTGATTCAAATCAAGTGACTTAATTATGTATTTTTGTTACTGCTGTCCCCACTCCCACTTGGTTTCACCCTTCCTCGGTCTTGGTCTTGACTTGGTTTAGCCCCTAAAAGTCTTGGGCTTGTCTCGGTTTGGACTAAAACACCAAAAGCGATATACTAGAATCCTGACAATACTGTAAAATGATGTTCAACAGAACCTCCGCTCCTACCATCCACAGTGAGTGTGATGCTGCCCTCTCCTGTGAAGACATCATCTGTGATTGAGATCTCCACGTCATAAGTTCCATCATCAGAGGGCCTGAGGTTGTGCAGAAGCAGAGTCCCGTTCTCAAAGATCAGGATGCGATCTTGATACTCTGACCTCAACGTCCCAATGATGACTGTTCCGATCGTCTGGACGACGGTGACAGACTTTTCCCTCTTGAGCTGCCACTTGATGACYGGCACATCCAGGCTGAGACTGCTGTATCGGACGGACAGAAGGGCCTCCCCTCCGACTACTCCTCGAATCAAAGTGTTGGGGATAGTCATGTTCACTGCCAACACGTCACCTGTGGAGAAGCATGAAAACAAGGCCCCACTATTAAATTTTCATGACGTCACAGGTCAGTTGAGGGATGCTACAATAACTTTGAAGCTGAACTGAAAGATTGTAAAGGATCTAAGCTGGGGTTAACCCTGGAGAGACTGACTAGTAATTAAGTGGACTGATTTAATGGCATCCTTTGTTTGCAAATTGCAGCTGATTTGATATGCCTGGACTCCCTTTCTCAACTCAACCCTTTGCTAAAGACACACTAACCTCTGCACTGGTACTTAACATTGAGGCAGTATGTAAACTGTTTGTGTTCCCACTGTAATAACTGTTCAGCAAACAATGATTTCCAAATGAAGACACCACCTCATCACTGCGTCATTTATATCCAAGCCAGTTTTATGTGTGTCTGTCTCTGGGATGGGCCTGCATGAACCAACAGCAGTGAGCTTTGTTTGTTCAAATTTCCCTCTTCATGAGCAAAAACACTGGGAGACAACCAGATGCAAGCTTCGCAGAAACACAGCGGCTCGGCGACTTTGTTGCCCGACAGTAATGAGGACAGCTGAAAACATGAAAACACCAGTTCTGGTACCACCTGCAGGGACAATTACTGTATCTTTTACAAAGATGGGGCACAAGACTGCAGAAACCTTCAGTCTGATATATGCCTTCATGTAAACAGAAAAAGCTACTTTTCTGAGAGCTTCAGGTAAAGCAGATGTGGCGACGCTTAACAAGGTTAAAAAAAAACTGCACAAGCAAAGAAAGTCATAATCTAAAACAATTAGTTTAACTGTTATCATACTCTCTTAATATTTTGATAAAGAAAGCTTCAACATTACTGATCCCTGCAGTTATTACAAATATGCTGGACTATTAAGTCTTTATTTGGGTTTCCTGCTAGTGTTCTAATGAGAGTTGGAAGGAGAGATCATATTTCCCCAGTTTTAGCTCCTCTCCACTGACTTTGTCAAATTCAGAATAGAATTTAAAATCTCACTTTGAACACACAAAGCTTTCAACAACCAAGCTCCATCATATATTAAAGATCTTATTGTTTCATATTTTCCTAACGGAGCGCTTCGTGGCCGGTCGAGGCAGATGGAAAGCTATCCTGAGCCTGATTCTGCTGGAGCTTTCTTCCTGTTAATAAGGAGTTTTTCTTCTCCACTGTCGCCAATGTGCTGCTCAGGATGGGAAACTGTGACGAAGTGATTCAACACAATCTGCTGACTTCCTAGGATTTATTTTATTTTTGTACAAAGACATTTGTTGTGCCTTGGCACTATATAAATAAACTGAGTTGAATTGAACATTAAAGATAAGTTTCTTTTTAAAGCTCTCATACTTAGACAACATTTTTTACGTGTATTTTACCACAACTGTTGTCCCACTAGTGCCTTACAAGTTCGTGTAAATTAGTTTATGAAATGCTGCTTACCTGAATTGTTGAAACCGAAGCATAGCAATAGAATCTGATAAATGGTTTTGGCTTTTGAAGAAGCGTCCTTCTCTGGCTGCATCTTGGGTAAAAAGCTTTGTTTTTCTCCCAGACAGTCAGCACGATTTGTGACTCTGGGCTGGACGAAGAATACAATTCATTCATTCACACTGTGCTGAAACTGAAGACTTGTTGTTCTCCAAAGCCTCATTAGAAGCAGGACAACAGTGTATGCCGTGAAGTGCACTTGTGAATTCCAATGGAACAGAATCAAATTGTAATTAATCGATTCAGAACCTTGAGAATAAAAATCGATTCGATTTAGGGAATTGGCCACGATACCCAACCTGAACGKAATTCTCAAGGTTTGACCATTTTGCATTAAAAATCAGCTTTGTTTATGCAAAATGGTCAGACCTTGGCAGTACATTCCTTTAAGGCCTTTAATTCACAATAATTTTGAAAAGCTCCAAGTTCTCGATCATGTCCTGTCCCTGCATCGCTGCAGAACCATCCAACCAGAAGATGCATCTGAGTATCAGGAAGTTTCCACAGCTCTTGTGATTTCATGTTGTTATTTTTAGCAGCAGGGCTCATCCAACAGGACGGTACCGTGCTACTGCACTGCCCTGACACTCAGCAACCTGCAGTGTCCTGTAACCCCCCCACTCCAAAGAACTAGGCCACCCAGTGAAGACATCAACATGCTGATTGTTGGCCTCCAGAACATTTACCTCATCCTTTACCCCTACCCCCATCCCCTACACACTGCTCAGTTGGTTCCCACACTCCCTGTCTCTATAGCAAGCATCACTGCTCACCAGACTTTACCCACACAAAATGGACCAATGAGCAGTGACCTCATCATRAAACACCCACGCACAATTTCATRTATAGTCAAAAAATAAATAAAAYAAATTAAACCCCTACATTTTGGCACACATTTGAACACCCAATCACTTCTACTTGCCTGTCTTTGGGATGAGTTCTAATGAGCACTGAGTGTGAAATGTGTTGGTTTGGTCTCATCTGGTCCTCAGTTAAACCATCAGTTTGTTAAACCCAGCTATTTAAAACTGTTCAACCACATTTTAGATATGTATGAACATTGGTGCAGAAAAGTTTGTAAAACTACAAACTATTCATATTTCTGAAACAAGTTCATCCGTTTTTAAATTTTGCACAAATGTAAAAACAAAAAAAAAGTTTAAATCTGTTTGTAGTCAGGAGAGAAATATTTTCCAACAAGATATTTTAGGGAAAACTTCAGAACTTCAAAATTTAAAGCTGCAGGTTTTCATTAAGTTTGGCAAAACATACAAAACTGTCATGTCCTGTTGTCCTGCATTACCTATGTGTTGGATTAGCTGCTAAAATCAATAGTATTTTTCTGTTCCAATGCTTTAAAATAAAGAAACAGAAGGACAGGAAATWTATTTATCAAMCTTTGCTGAAAGTGGATGAGAAATCATGGTTTTGTCATCAAAATATCTCACGAAGCCCTGGATGGATTTTAGTGACACTCTCAGAGTGATCATTGGATGTACAACTAAATAATCCTTGGAATTTAACTGACAAAAAAAAAATAAAAATACTGTGCTGTGATTGGTCAAATCACAATCTTGATCAGCAGATATCACACTCTGTTCAGTCATACCTCACAGAGTTTGTAAAGAATTACTGTTACAGGTGTAATTTTTTTTTATACTTTTCCTCCTACTTCATATTCAGGCACKGTTGTTTTCTTCCTGCAGCTTTCAAGTAGCTCTGTCCCTCTGCTGGCTTCTCGAGCTTTGTGGCAGGAAAAAAAAGGCTTCTCTGATCAAAGGCCATGACGTTCCAACCAAACAGCCTGCAGCTATCAAAACCGTTTGTTTATTCTGCATCGCCATGACAAGATCAGATAAGAAGTCTAAAAATGTAAGGGACTAAAGAAGCAGGTAGACGCTGACAAAGCCAGGTGTGCAGGTTACAGTGGCTGAATGTGTTTAGTGGAGGAAATAGAGGGAGATAAGGGAAAATATTTGTTTTCTGTGCTGCTGGATACAAACCCCAACAACAACACAGGACTGGACAGCTTTCAACTTTTTTATGAACTGAAGCCCCATAAAAACAAGTTAAACTCTTCTATAGAAACACTGTCTCATAATTCTACCTAAAAGAAAGTTTTGCTTGTTTTAGGGAGCATTTCCACWGCAGCAGAGTAAAGAAACTGTCACAGCGCCAACCCTAATGAAACACTCCCCTTCCTTGGGTGACCAAAGAGCTCCAAAAACAATGTCACCCTGGAAAAACAAGTGTCGAGCCACRGCTTTGACTGCCGCTGACTTCCAAGGATGGAACAAGTGCTGCATACCCATGCAGCGAAGGAAACATAACTCACAGCTAGGGTTGCCTCCCATGACTCCAAAGCCTCCAACTCAGACCACAGCCTTGAAACACTACACCTGCTAACAAGGCGGCCTGACATTTCGCCTCCACGATTTACTTTTCTCTGTATTTATGATCGTTTGTCTATTTTGAAGCCAGCCCTTCTCATCTTTCCTTTTGATTTCCTTGCACGTTTCCGCCCTTCCATTAAAAATCGGCAGCAGCCCTCGATGGGTGAACTCTGAACCGAGTCGGCGGAACCAGTAGGTGAGGCGCGAAAGGGAAAGGGGGTCAACTCGTTCACGATTCGCACCATAAAGCTTCCTGAAAGGTCGCTCGGGCTGAATAAGCAGAAGTGTGTTAACCTTTCACCTTCACACGCACCAAACGTGTAGAGCCACAGGAAACTGCCCCACAGGGGTGCCTTTTGAAAGTTATTTGTTTGACAGAGTGTACGCGAAAAGACACGTAGACATATCCCCACCCCCACCCCACAAAGAGCAGGTGTTTGTTAAAGCTGTCCCWGGAGAGGAACCTTGGCTACAGCGTTGTGTGATCGCTCCCACCTGTGGAGCTCAAATATGAGACATTTATTATACGGGGGGGACTTATCTAACGCTCCCTATCTGATGGACTATGTAATAGAGAGGCCACAGACAGATCCGCTTTCACTGGCCTGAAAGGCTGGAGAGGTGACCCAAAAGGAAATCATTATGCGCRAACACAAAAGCGATGTAGGTGTGGAGTAAAAACGCTCTGATGGGTGCTGCCCCGTCTCCTCCCAGCTCGCCACGAAGACTGCATTAAAATGTCTYCCCGCGGTGGGAGGTCTGCAGAAAACCTGCAAGTGAAATCACAAATTACCACCTCTCAAGTAATTTAGGCTCTCTAAAACAATAATTCCACATTCAGGAAGTGGTGAGCACGGTATTGAACTCTTGATTATGTGCTAAAAGCTGTACGTGGGTTATACTTCATCCATATTTATGCTTACTGTATTRTGAAGTTCCCAGCAATACCCAGCTGTTAGGAGCTGCCAGCAAAATTTAACACCAGTTACACCATTCATTCACACACTTAAAGGCAGTTGAGAGTTCCTGTTATTAGCTGCACTTGTATTATGGCTCCACAGCGGTGATGGTCTGTCATGTGATCCTTCGCTTTGCTACAGAAATATCTCAGCAACTAACAACATCCCTCAGCTCCGCGTGCACGGCTCATTAACATCCCTGAGATGTTAGCAAGTCATTATGTCGGAAAAGCAGCTCAGAGTAGCAATAAAATGCTGGAAAACTCACTGTTCATTATTTTTTTATGTCCGCTCAGACCACAGAGCCCGTGCGACATAAATCTCGTCATCTCACCTGTCAGCTACGGTCCACTGTGTTCCTCGGCGAGCAAGCGTGTGCGCGCCAAATTAGGCATTTTTCATTTCAAAAGGAGGCGCCAAAGTCACAACAAACAACAGAAACAGGATTGGAACTGAAAACAAAAAAACAAATACTTGTGCTGTGAGAGAAAACTCCATCAAGTTCGTAAAGAGCAATCACACAAACTTTTTTATTTTTTTATATAAAACGTTAACAAATCTGTATTTTATCACCACCTATTAGGCTGTAGTAAAACTGTAGACCACTCAGTGTAGCGCTGAACCACAGCTAATCCAAAAATAGTATGAACACAAGCACGTGACCGAAACAGTTTACCCACACAGATGTAGAAAGAATCGACAACCACGCTTCCAGCATGTTAACATTAGCTTCACCACACTAACAGCTCCAGACTAAACAAGCCCAAAGAAAAGTCTTCCAGTTCAAATTACTGCTGGCTGAAGTACTCCAACTTTATTTATAAGCCAATAAATTAAGGGAACACTGAAAAMACAAACAGCATAAATAACTACTGAGCCTTTATTTAACATCTCATTCGTTTATGGTTAAATAACAGATTAGCAACGAGTTTTAAATTTATTTTTACACTCTCCAGAGAAGTCTGACACCAGCTTCGGGAACAACTAAGACACGTGTAAATGCAAATCTGTAAATTAGATCCCATTCAGCTTCAGTTTTACTAACCATGACCAGAGTGACCAGGCTAACTCTGACCCATTTTACACACTAAAACCCTGCAGTGCTAATAGAGGTTAGCCAGTAACTGAGAAACAAAATTACAGAAGGGAAAATAAACTGTTTTTTTCTGCAGCTAATGCCACATTTTATGTGCGAGGCGGTCATGTTGGATTTTGAGGTGGACGCTGATTGACATCCTCAAACTTCCCAGGTCAAAAGGGGTCTGTGGCTGCATGACCAGGGCACCTGTTC